CTCACGGTCGATGAAGTCCCTCCCGTGGAGGTGTCTCTGGTCCGTGCGATAATCCTCTATAATAATCTGCATATTGACATAGATCATATTATATTTTACGCTCTTCGATTTGGAGTCAATAGATTGCACTATTCGACAGCAGCGAGATCCTTTCTATCCATCTACCACCAGCAGACGTTTTATCGATATATATCGCATAATATTATATCCAATATTATACGGTATATATCGATTGAATGTCAGCTTGTGGTAAAAGGATCCCTTATACTCATCGATATTTATCGATTACCGCATATGTTTGTTTGTTTAATGAATATTTATTTGCTCCCAGAGGCAGCTTTTCATCAGCCACAACACTATCTAGCTCTACCATAATTAAATAACTTTTGCAGCACCTTTTCAAAATCAAAATTCCCATCTTTTTTCTCAATGAACTCTGCTCAGTTGTCAGCAAATTAGCGCATCTGCCTTTTGGGCGAGTGTCCGTCGCGGTAAATGTCTACTCGAATTTCAGGGCCCCCGTCCCCCGGGCGTAGCCCGTTCACCCCTGTCGACCTGGACATGAGCAGGAATCGCACGCCCCCGCGCAATTAGACGGCACACGGCAACGTGAACCTCAACCCTTTCTGGATGGCCAACTTAATGACTTCCGTTTGGTGTGTGGTTCGGGTTCAAAGCGCGGTTAGAGTTAATTGCCGACTGCTTCTCAGCGAGGACGGCGCCCAAAAATGTTGTGACGTGTGAGGCGAGGACGTGGACGAGCTCGAGGAATTCTATTGATTGATTTCTCTATTGTCTGCACCCTCAAAGTTTGTTTGAGTTCGCGGCTCAGTGTTTGCCTACAAATCGCTATTTGATTTGTTGTTGTTTGTTGTTGCTGTCGCCTCGCTTCGTTTCGTTTCGTTTCGTTTCGTTTATTTACCAATAATAATGCAATCAAAATCAAAGGTTAAACAGTGGAGCTGCCTCAGCTGTTGATCTGCATTCAGATCTCAGCAGCATGAGGAGAGAAAGGACATCTAAAAGGGTTTTCGATCCTGCCACAATTTCCATGCTCAGGTGCTGTTGCACGTGCAACTTACCCCTAGCCTAGACGCTAATGGCTGCTGCCACATTATTGTTTGTTGATTTCAATTTTGATTTGCTGCGACCCCCAGCGCCCGAGCACGAAACACACTGAAGTCATATCAATATCGTGGGAAGCACTAAGCACACAGACGCTCTCGGCGCGTCATATTCAAATTAGCCAAAAGAGCAACAAACACAAAGAGAGAGAGAGAGAGAGAGAGAGAGAAAGGGAAAGGGAGGGAGAGAGAGGGAGGGGGACACACAGTCAGCAGTATTGAGCTGGAATATCAAACGCCAACGCGAGGTCATGTGAAAGTGCAAATTTATATTGGCTTAATGGCTGCTATGCCCTGCTCTACAAAAGGGGCCAGACCCGGGCCATATCAAGCTGTGAGAATGTCTGTAATAAACCAAACTCTATATAGGGGGGAAAACGTGAGCCAGGACTGCAAATGATAAATGGTTTATCATCAAATATACTTAGCTGGACAGCTTTGATATATCTACTCATATCATATTCATATATCCAGGCTATGCTCTGTATTAGAAATGATATACCCTTGATTGACTTTCAATGTGCTTTAACATTAGCTGGCTAAGTGCTGCTCAATATTCAATACTCAAGCTTTTCTAGGATATTTGCTATGTGAATATTCTACAGGCTACTTACAAGGTATTTCAGTCGAACTAATGTTCTATATATATATTACTATTCCTTTTTTTGTCAATACCTACATACCTCAGAATATTTGCAGGGTATTTACAGGTTAATGCTTAATTTTTGCTTTAAATATTTAAATTCCGAATAAGGCTATTTAAGGGTATTTATTATTTTATTTTAAATATTTATTTTAAAATATATTTAAATTCCCAATAAGGTTATTTACAGGGTATTTTGGTATTACTCAATTTTATTCAGAATTAAAAATCTGCTTTAGCTCGTTTCTTGGGCAATGATATATAAGAGCAGAATTGTTCACCTGAAATTTTTAAAGCATTTTACAGGGTATTTGAGCCGAACAGTGCTCTGGTATTGCAAAACTTCTAATAATTAAATAATGTATTAATTATATTTCATGAGTAGATACTCTGTGTACTATAGTTTATTTGTCTTCTTTATGACCTTTTACAGGGTATTGCAGTCGATCGATCAAATTTCCACCCTGCAGTTTACTTAAGTTGTTTTCCTAGGGTATGTGCAATGCGTATAACTGTTGCCCTTGACTGCTTTAGGCTGCTTAGGCTACTTACAGGGTATTAAACATGTGCTCCTTACAGCACATATTGTTTGTCTTCCTGCATTTGAGCAATGAATACATTTTCCCAGGGTATATGCCAGGCCAGTCTTTAACTTGGCCAACTTCAGCTCATTTACAGGGTGTTTCAGTCGAGCATAAAGTGTCTTGCTAAGCAACTTTGTGCATTATACCCACTTCGGCCGACTTACAGGGTATTCCAGTCGAGCACATTTGCTTATCTATACTTATTTGTTAACTTTGATTGGGGGAGAGACAACATTCACACACTCTTTCAATCACTCAGTCACTCAGCTGCTGTTGTTGTTGTTGTTGTTGTTGTTGCTGCTGCGTGTTGCCTTTTATGCAAATCATTGTAATGCAATATTTAAATTGATGTTCGGTGGCTTTTTAATGGCAAACTCTGCCAGACACGCAAGGCGGTCCACAAAGTGCTTCGCTTCTCGGGGTGCAGCTGGGACGACGAAGGCTCGAAGGCTCGAAGGCTCGCAAAGGGTTTCGCCTCTCGCCTCCACATGTAAATGACGAACAGATTCGTGTGAACTCTCAAGTCGACCAGGTCGGCGCCTAATGGAGCCATTCGTTATACTGCACTTACATAAATAAATATTAAATATACAATTTGGCATTAGATTAGATTAGTCTGAAAAAATGAACTACTAAAGGAGACTATTGGTAGATCGTTTCCTTCAGAGACTGGAGATCATTTCTTCAGACGAACACAACTTGAATGGCCTGGACTCAAAGCTTATTAATAGAAAAGATACTCTAATTGATTCACTCTGTTGATTTACGAGCTCGCTTACAATTTGCACTTGCCTCGTTCGGTGTCAGCCAGAGCTAATCCTGGCCGCAAAGCCGACGCCGCCGTTGCCGTCTTAGCGCCCACTGGCTGAGGGCCGAGGTGTGCACAAATGGCCAACAGATTGGCCGCATCTTCATAAATAAAGACGTGTGCCAGTGGAAGGGAGAGGAGGAGAGGGCGAGAGGTGGAGGGAGTGCACGCGCCTGCTAGGGCCAGCTGTTGACACGTGTGTGCGTGTGTGTGTGTGTGTGTGTGTGTGTGTGTGTGTGTGTGTGTGTGTGGGATGCAACTGAAAAACAACATTGCGAACATCATCGGAGGTGGTGGGGGAGTGGTGTTGCTTGGTTGGTGGTTGGGTGGGTGGCTCTGTGCCAACCACTGGCCGCACACAGAAACAATTGACTCGACAAGATTACAAGCAGGAAATTCAATTTTAAAAGCAGCTGCCACGTGTCCTTTTAGTGCTTGAAATTGTTACAGTTATTGAGCCCGCTGCCCGCTACCCGCTGCCCGCGGGCCGCCTTGTGGTAATGGTAATCGTAATGCTGGTGGTTGCTCGCCGGCGGCGGTGGTGGTGGTGGTGGTGGTGGTTGTTGGATTGCCCACGCGGTGAACTATGAATATGTAATTTTGGCAACATCGATGAAAATTGAGCAATAAACGCGCCGAGTCGAGCCGCGTCGAGCTGCATTGCGTTACAAATAAAAACAAAAGGCCCGCTGGCAGTGGCAACGGAAACGGAACAAACACCACCAGCCCACCAGCCAGCTAGCCAGCTAGACAGCTAGACAGCCAGCAACCCACCGAACGACACCGCCAACCCACCAATCGAGCAACGATGACGACGGCGACGACGTGTTAATTTGCAGGGTGGCTTTCTAGACAGCAACGACTACGACGACGACGACGACGGCGACGGCGACGGCGGCGGTGCTGCGGTGGCTAAAAGGGCGTGTGATTGACTTAATTGACTATGAAAATGAGAAATTACATGCAGATAATGACGATGGTCGCGAAATGAACAACAAACAACCGCTGCCAGCAGCGGCCAACAACAACAACAACAACGATTGCACTGGGCGTTATTAAATTTTTCAATACCCATTCTCACACGAGTCGCCGCCGAAGCATGCCACGCCCCCGCAACGCCGCTAACAACTGTAAAATGAGCCATCAACTTTGATTTAATTTGATTTGATTTTCATTCCCCCCCCCCCCCCCCGTCTCCCCTACGCCGCATCAGCTCTCTCGTCCCAGCACACCTCGTCGCGCCCCGGAGCGCGGCTTTCCGGCGCTTTATTGCAGCACATTGGCTAATTAGAATTGCGACTTTGTGGCTTTGTGACTTTGTAGCCCTGTCGCATGCCGCATGCCGCATGCCGCATGCCGCTTGGCGCATGCCACATTGTGTGAGAGTTTTGTCATTAAAATTGCATTTTATTTGCGGACAACGGTCAAGCCGAAGACCCAACTAATTGAAAATGCCAAATCCTGGCCAGCTCCAGGCCTAGCTGCATGGGCTTCATTACTCTGCTGGGAGCAGCAGCCCCAGTGGGAATCAAATACATCTTTTTGAACAAGTTAACTGACACTGACAATCAATGAATGTTACCCAACAAAGTATACATATTATATACATATATGTAGTGCACCTCTCTATATATGTAGTTTAAAAGAACCCTAGCTACTACAGTAGGAGCCATCAGTTCTAGTCTAGCAAAGGCAAATGAATAAAATAAGTATATATTCAATGAATTTATATATG